AGGCAGTCAAGCATGAAATCGCAAGGGGAAGCAACGATGACGCGGGCAAAAGGAAGCCATTCCACCCTCAATTGAATACGGCGCCCCACTCCAAGCAGTCACACGGAGTGCACTGTTTCCACAAAAGAACTTGGTCGTCGTCCATCCCTTAAAGATGCTTCGTTTAATGATGGGCCTTAGAAAAAAAAAATAAGAGGAAATGAACAACGTAGTCATACTTCATCACCGCTGGCCATAATCATTCTCTCATAACAGAGCAATTTCCCTACTATGCCTCGTATACACACACAGAAATCCACATGTATGAAAAAACCCGCAATGTTTTTCTACCAGAAACCAAAATAACCCGCTCCCTCCATAATCCCTTCTTCGTTCACTGTTACGATCGCTCGCGTTGGACATTTTCCGCATCCGTGTGTGATGCTGCCACCTGATGCTGCTGCATCTGCACTGTATGCACACACAGGCATCCAACCACATGAAACAAGCCCCAATATTTGTTACCAGAACTCAAACTACCCCCGCAATTCCCCAATTTGTTTCCCTATTCATTCCTTTAATTACTCCTCAATTCTAAGACCTTCGTGGAGCGTCTCTGGATGATATTGACACTTGGTACTGGCGTACCTTTTCGTTCCAAAACGCCGCAATTTCATTGTTGTCCGCGCCGCTCACATTATTGGAGTCGACGACATCACATCTCTGCCAGTCATTCATCGGCGTGCTGTCTGCGTGCTGCACGTAAATCATCTCCCACGACAGTTGTCGGGATAACTCCTCCCAACCATTAAAATATGCCGCCAGATACTCAGTGAACTGCCTCACAGTGCTGGTTGTCGTGTGATGCCCACCCGCCGCAGCCATCCGCAGCCCAACGAGCGTCATTGGATTTGACATCACAAAGAAAAAGGCGTCCACCAGCGGAAAGTTTTCCACCTCCGTTACGTACAGCACCCCGCACTCCAAATCAATCCTCTCAGAAAAGTGTTCCAGTGGCGGTAAGACATGGTGCCTGGTGGAGCGCTCCTGTGAGTACACCGCCAGCGCACGGCGGTGGGACTGACGTTGTGGTGATGGACTCAGCTCCCTCAGTCCGCGTTCTATTGCGCTCACAAAAGATCCATTCAAAAATGCAAACACGGTGCACCTTCCAAAATTTTCTGATATGAGATAATCCCTCAGCCACGATATGAGTAAATTAAAATCAAGCTGCTGCATAAACTTCGCCGACTTGAATAATGTTTTATTTCCGAGGTGAGCAGACACCGGTAAATTGAAAATAAATTCAGAACCGCCCGTTTTACCTCGTACTCGGACAACCCTCGCAAGCCAGTAGAGCACCTTCGTACGATCCCAGGATACATCACGTCCCAAACCACTGTATTGCGCGATTACAGAAGAGGTCGCCTCATCGACGGTCTTGTGACACCGTTGAACCCAATTATCATACTTTCGCTCGTCAAAGATATAACGTGGAATGGGTCCCACTTCATCCATGTGGCTCTTCACCACCTGCCAGTACTCCGCTTGCTCCCGCACGGGCTGATGGCGCCTCATCCAAACGCACATCGCCTTCACATCGCTTTCTTCGGGGCAATCCATAACTATTGTTGTGGCACCCCTCCGCTTCACCCATTCTTTGTAGTTCCTCTCGAGTGGGGGTGACACCAAAACCATGCCCCATCCCCTGGGAGGCAAATCATCAGACGGTGCATCATCCGGCTCTGCCACATCGTAAATAATATACCCCTTCACCCCACGATCAGACAGACTCCCCACAAAAGATGCATTACTGGAGTCGCCCATGTACGTCGACACCGTCCTGCTGGTCTTGTCAAACAGGAATTTTCGATCTGCAATAAAGTAAACAACCACTTGGAGTTGCTCCACATCGTAGTGCAGCAGTCGGTAGAGGAGGTACGAGCCGGCAGCCAAAGATTTCCCGATCCCGGGCGTCCCAATCAACACACGTCGCTCGGGCGTAAATTCGGTCCCACCGTGACTGCCAAAAAATTCAGTTAGATCGCCCTTGACGATCTGCCACACTCGCTCCACCTCACAGTTCACGTAGCAGTCACGAGCGGATTCCGCCCCCTTCCGATTCCACGAGTACGGCCATCCCTTGTCCGAGGTGAGCACCATCAGCCTGGGACGCGCTGCACCGGACTGCTGTGCACCATCATCCTTTTCGATAGTTCGGCCAACTTTCCTGTACGTCCATGGCTGCGGTGCTTCCCCTTCCCTCACTTCCATTCCCGTCCCCTCGCCGCCAGGAACTTCCACCACATGGCTCCACCTCGCATTGTACACAGACTCGTAGAACCCCTCCAGTTTATTCGATGCACTCATCCTCATTGAGTTCCTTACGTCCTCAAGGAATGCATTCAAAAACTCATTAGTGATGCAATGAACACCTGCCTTTACCCCCGCAGCAGCTTCTAGCCAGCCGATTAGGGTATTTACACCATTCTCCTCAAGCTTGCGTACGTCTTCATCAAAAACCACTTTATTCCTTAGATCATTCCTGATCCTCTTGTAATGAGACGATGCGTGTATCTCGTTCAATAGTCCCTCATCGCGGATATACCTCGTGGGGTCCTTTAAGAACTCCCTCAGCAAAACATTCCTATTCGTGTCCACAACGCCCCTGCCGCCAAGATTCCGCCAAAGAAAATCGTTCAGCTTCATGTTGGTGCTGCGAGCCGTTGCCTCCAGCAGCACATCTTCCACACGTCTGTCAAGAGTCCACTGGGGTTGCTGCGCTTCCTCCATTCTTATGTGTGTCGCGGCGGGTTGATCTGTGTCACCCTCAGACTCCGGCCTCGCCATCCTCCGACCATTTCCTTGCGGCACAGTGGACGCGGGACCCTCCCCATTGCCACCGAGCACTGTCTCGGGCCTCCCAGGCATTGTTTCTCCTTGCTTTCTTAGTTTGATTGAGCTAAAGCTGAACACTAACCAACAACCAAAAAGAAGAATAAAAACCAATAGGCACAGACACGACAGGCAGTAAGGCAAATAAGAGAATCATCCACACGGTGTGCGACGCACACCACATGCACGAGGACCGCCGCAACGATGGCAAGTGGGTACCATCCACCCAGCACAGTGTTGGTGGGTGCCAACAATAACAGCAACGTGGTGCGCACGGAGGGTTTGCCCACGCATTCCGCTCGCTGCGGTCCGCACCCCTGTGGCACCGCCGTCACCGCACACACTCCACAATAATACATGCGCGCATATCGTCCCTGACGCACACGAAAAAACAAAAGTGGGAAGGGAATTCGGTAAAGCAGCGGCCACACGCAGGGATCACAGATCATACACGCCACAACAGCGATGCATCACGGCAGCCTCCCACGCAGAACAAAGAAAAATTGCACGTCTTATGGAATATCCCCGCAATTCGCACAGCACAAAAGAACCATGAAGCTCCCTTTCTCATTGCATTCGCCATTCATATTCCCAATGCGTAGCACCACAGATAATGCCCCTCCATGGTGAAAACGAATGCCTCATTTTGTTGTGGTGTCATCGCGCAGCCATCCACCTGGGTGGGAAAAAGAGTAAAAACAGGCGTCCGTCCACCTGAAAGGAGGAGGGAAGCAGCCGCAGTGTCCCCCATGACGCAAACACTCCGCGGCCAGTGCCCGGTGTCGTGTGCGGAGTCCGCGAGAAGGTTTTGGGCACGCCACTGTGCCATACGGTGTGACCCCCTCAGAACGCAACAGCTGAAATGTCCCCTTCCGGTCGCACTCGTGGCGGTGGTGGCATCCGCTGCCTCGCTGCGTGCTGCTGGCGTCGACTACGATGCTGCAGTGTGATAGAGGGTGCCCGGCACGAGAGGTGCTGGGCTGGGCGGGCAATCCCTTCCGCGGCGAGACGCTCAGCGCGACTCTTGACCGCTGCGCTCACGCACTTCCCTCCACTCCTCTCCCTCCATTCGGCAACCGCACAGCCGCCAGCACATTGTCCCCGAAGCAACACACAAGTGAAAGCGTCGTAGCATATCTCTCGAGAGAACAGAGCGACGATCACACGCTGCGGCAATCGTGCCGAAAAGTCCGACGCGGCCGCAAACGCACCCACAGCAGCAGACAAAAAAAGAGATCTGACACTCCGTGCCACGTCCTCGTGCGTGATGGTTCGGCATTTCAGAACAATACCGTCACACGCCGTGCAGCATTCCCACAGGGGATGAGAGCCACGGCGCACTCTCAATGCATCTTTCTTTTTCATTTCCGCAAAATGCAGCAGTTGCCAGCACCGAGTGCACGAGAAGCATCAAGCTGCACTGCAACATGTACGCCGTGCGGCTGTGTGTCTGCAGACACGCAAATAAAAAAAAGAGCCGCGCACGTGAAGAAACAAAAGAACACGCAGCGGAGGTACAGGACAGACAAAGAGAAAAGAAAGAAGGCAGCCGAAGCTCAAGATGGCACGGCAGCCCAATCTACGGCAATCCACAATACGCTTGTAGAAACAAAAAATAAAAACTTAAAACAAAAAAAAAGAGCAAATTAAAACGCAAAAAACAGTCCCCTTGAAGAAGTTCTTCACGCTCACAAAAAAAAAAAGGAAAAAAATAACACGGTGAAGCGGAAAAACAAAAAGCACGTGTATATTCTTCCTGCAAAAGTAAAAATATATTTGCGTCAGCCGTTCAGCCTCCTGGTGTCCACACAACACCCACATTTCATTCGGACGTTCAGTGCGTTGCTGCACATCTTAAATCCCTTCTTCACCGCACCATCGTCGTGGAGCTCAATGCCGACTGCACGTGTCGTCGGCCGACGGAAACGCTAAAGACATCCCGCCATTCTCAACATATTCCATTATATAAAAAAAAACAAGCATATAAAATAAAGCAAAAACAAATACCCCGCGGTGCATTCCCGGGAGGGAGAGCACGCTTTTAAATAAATAATTGCACAGGCGGAAAAGGGATATTCAAACCAAAAATAAAATATATAAAATAAAAGGTACGTCCAAGCAAAACGTCAATTATTTAGGAAGGTGCGTGGAGAGGTACATTTTGCTCCCGCTGGAGGCAGGGGTCCCGCCGCGTTACGCCCCGTAGAGGGCCACAAAGCCGCACAGCCCAGCAGCAGCAGCAGCAGCAACACGCCCCCAAGCATGGAGCCTTCGCTCTTCTTGACTAGTTTTGGTTCACCGACACTCAGTGGGCGGTTGTACAGAAAGAATTTCGTCACTGTCGCACTGCTGCCGCTGTCTCCCTCGTTGCCCCCAATGTAGAAATATGTGATTTTATGTCCCAGCGCCCCAAGTGTTGGTATCGTCTCCAAGCTCCCCACAATCACACCATCCACGTACACGGAGCCCTTGTGGCCGTCCTGCAGCATCAGCGCCACTTGGTGTTCTTTCCCCGGCTCCCAAGTGCTTATCTGTGCTTTTGTTTTCCCGTCAAACACCGTCTCCCACGTTTTATTCATGCTGTACGACAGCCCAATGAACTTCTTACTATTACTGTTCTCCAGACCCGCACCCAGCAGAAAAGTACTCTTCTTCGGAACCTGGTGGATGGTCACCGTCGCCACAACAGTAAAATCGTAGTTCACAAAGCCGTACTGATTATTATCCTCCCGGTTGTTCACGGGCCATGTTGCCCTGGACCCAGGCCCCGTGAAGTTGAACCCATTTTCGACCTTCGCTGCCTTCGTCACGCTTGCATTCACGCAGCGGTAATCGTCGATCCACGTGTCACCACCGGACGATGTATCGGACAGGAATCCAACCAGACCAGCCGTGGGTGTGGACGACTTGGAAAAGAAGGCGTCAGGCTGCGCCCAGGTACTGAGAATGGACTTGATCGTATTCAGCTCCTCCGTCATTCGGGCAAGTGAAATGGCACTGCCTTTTTCATTGTCCCTCTGTTGTAAAAGATGCAACCTCCCATCCGAGTGCAGCAGGGTGCTGGCGAGCTCCCCCTTCCCAGCATTGTCCATGGCAACGGGACCAACATGAAACGTGCGGTTGTTGTCCGTAACCCAAAGGCAGAGCGCAGTGGCCCTTTTATTTCCCGAGGTGTACCCTCTCTGAATGTACAGCATTACCTTCCTTCCCTCAATGGTGGCGGTGGTGAGGGCTCCCACACGAAAAATTTCGTATAGACGAACTCCTGGTTGTGAAATGACCCACACGCCTGAGAGTGTCCCGATAGCCTCCGTCCACGTTTTCCCCATGTCACGCGACTCGTACACACTCTGGCCATTCTCGCAGTCAACGATCATGAGAAGTGATCCCGTCTCCCATTCGGTGATGCGGGGATCAAGGCATCCTACAGGAGAAATGCTCTCTGGGAACACCCAGTTGTTGCCGTTGTCCGTCGAATAAGTGATCGAGGAGAAAGGGTAATTTTTCCCATTCACCATCAGGGGAAACACAAGCGTGTCATTCTGCATCACAATGCCTGAACCACCAGCAGTCACAACATATATCAGCTGACCTTGAGTGTGATTGGGGATATGTTTTAAAAGCGACTTGGGTTCACCCCAGTTGATCGTTTTACTCGGTTTGCCGTCCGTGGACTGCGTGGCCACACCCTCAACCAGTTTAATATCCCAGCCATCTTTCACCCACCTCCCACCATAATCATCGCTGTAATATCTTGTAGTATAGCTTCCCACAAGCAGAAACACCTTATTGTCCCTTGCAACTGCTGTGGGCCGGTACAAAAAACACACATGATCATTGCCATTCCCACTTCCAAAAACGGTGTATGCCCTCCATGTACCAGCATTGACCTCAGCGACAATGGACGGCCACGAATCCGCAGCCTTGATGTACCCAGCCACAATTTCGTAAGGCTTAATCCCAAAGAATTCATGTCCATGGACGTTATACTCGAACAGGCCTTGAGCAAAGGCAACCATCACTCCACCAGCACGGACAAGAGAAGGCGCAGCAAATGCCTTTTTCACTCCACCTTCAGACCCCTCTTTCGACAGCACCTGCGTCTTTTCCGGCACAAAAATATCGGCCCATTGAAGCAGCTGCGCATCCCCGGACTTACCCTCCACAACGGCTGCAGCTCCACGGCCGCAGCACATCATCACGACGAGGAGGAACAGCACCGCGGAAGCAAACACACGCCGGGACATGTGGGGCCTCTGCGGTTCACTCTCTCTTCCTTCCCTCCTCCTTCCGCTGGATCCGGTCACGCGGCGACGGTTGTGTGCGGAGTGCCTTCACTGCAGCAACGCGTGAGAGCATATAAATATGTGTGTGTGGGCGGTGTTTGTGCAGTTGGTCCTTTCAGTGCCTTCAAAATTCGCAGTGGCGAGTAGGGCTTTTTTTCTTCCGTTCTTAAAGTGTCTAAGAAGTTGGAAAGAACAAAATTCCTAGCATTGAACAAAAGGGTCATGAAAGAAATTTACGAAACAATAAACGCCATCATCGCTTACGGTGGGCCACACCTTCGTCAATGTAGCATTTCGTTTTTTTTTCTGTAGGTTTGCGTGTGTGTGTGTGTGTGAGTGTGTGCGTGCCAGCCCTCACGCGGTGCGGCTGCGGAGTGGCTATGAGTTCTCGGAGAGCATGCCGCTGGCTTCAAACTCACTCATAGCCCGCTTATTCATGCAAAATATCATTATGTTTCCTCACTAATAAGAAAGTAACGTCCCCTCTTCACTGCGCCCCATATGTTGCGTAACGGAAACGACATCAATCCGCCAATGAACGTCTTTCCCACTGGCTGTGTGAACGGCGTGGGATCAAGCAAATTCAACCATCAAAAATGTCCTTGCATATATATGCGTGGCCTTTAACTTGCATTTCGGGCCTCTTTTTGCCTCTCCCGTTGTTTTTTAAAGCCTTTCAAAACACAAATGATTCACGACGCCGTCCGTATATGCCACAATTTGTTTCGGGCTGCTGGGAGAAGAACGGATAAACATGCAAGAAAAATCGCAACAACTGCGACAGAAACTGTCGTGCCTGAAGAAGGAAAAGTTGTCAGGTCCAACAAAGCAACGAGCACCTACGTGTATGTGTGCGGCGTGGCGCTCGCCAGAGCTCAGGCAGATGCAAGCACGCCGTATGCCCCCCGTGGTCTGCGGTGCCCCGTGGCGCTGGTAAACGTTGACATGCCCGCTCACTCGTGGTCTGTCGAAGCAAGCTGGCGCCAGTCCATTTTGCCCCATACCAAGTCATACGAGTGGACCACGTTCGCGATGGTTCCACCAAAAGACCCAGTGGAGCCTTTGATACGTTTGGTCACGTGGCAGCGCGGCTCGTACGTTACCGTGGCAGCCACAACCGGCAACAGCCCCACGGCAGCAAGCATTTCATAAGGAATTATAATTGCGCCCGAAGTGTATTTGCAGGTTGATGTCACTTGAGGCTTTTCCTTGTATTCATTTTTTCTTTCTGCCCTTCTTGCTGATGGTGTTGTTTCCTTATATTTTTTTTGGGTTTACGTCCTTGTGCGTGTAATTCAATTTGCAGCAGACCGTTACTAAAAGCCAATCAGGGGAAAAAGAGAGAGAGCGGATAGAAGTTTAAGGAGACGGTAAAGTGACCGGAAAAAGTTTTGGCTGTGACGGGTGCTCGTGTTGCCATTCTGTTGTTCTAGCCGGTTTAATGCGCTCTCCATATGTCGGATGCCCTAGTGCTGTTCGGCGGCAGGGAACGCTCCTCATAGAGCGATTTTTTCTGTGGACCGACGCGCATCGAGAGAATATTCTCGTGGGTTTCAATGACCTCCTCCTCCTTCCCGTCGCCCTCCCCTGACAATGCCAATTCGTCGCCCACCTCTAACGCTGTTCGCCGCACACGCCGAAACGTGAAGTTATGAACGAGCATGCGTACACTCGTGTGAACGACATCGGGGCTGAGGGTGACGTATGAAGAAGCCAGAGAGTACCCCATGGCCTCCGTGTGTTCAATCACCTGTTGATTCACCGATGTTGTCAGAAGATCTGCCGTGCCGTTTGCCACCTTCGTCGTCACGAAAAAGACTGCGCGCTCGTTGGTCTGGCAGCACTGCCAGTAGGTGGAGGAGATCAGCCCCTCCAAGTCGCGGCGGATGCGCTGTGTAAGCCGCCGCAGGTGAAAGCCATCTGCACCAAATGTGATGGTGAGAGCGTGTCGTTTGACGCCCTGATCGTGTTGCATGTGGTCGCAAATCTGCACCACACATATGCCCGGAAGTTCGACAATGTCTGAGCCGGACGTATCGTCTGGGGCCGCAGGAAAGACGTGCTCAAGGAGTCCCCAAATGTTGAGGCAGTGAACAATCTCCGCCCGCAGCTGCTCGTTCTCCTTTGGAAGATGCAGTTGACTCGTTCTCAGGAAACCCAGCACACTCTCAAAGACCTCAGGGGTGACATCCACAAAATACTCGCACTTCTTACGCCCACCTGCTGGTAACGGAAACATCTTTGCAAATGGCGTGTTTGGGTAGCGCAGCAATGTGGAGAACTGCGTCTCGAACACTCGGCCCCCGGCATTGATGACGGCCCGCCTTCTCATGGTTGGCTTACGTACTCACATGGAAGAAAAAAACACAGAGGAAACCGCGGTAAAGCAAAAAAAAAAAAGGCGGCGGCCCAAAAAATAAAAAAGAATATAAAAAACGCACAAGGAAAGAGTCACTGAGCAATGAGGCATAACACCCGCTGCGCAACAGCGACACTGTATTGGGAGAACCATGCGTGCTCCAAGAGCGAGCGAACAGTGGGCCGCCGAGCGGGGTCCCAGCAAAGCATGGCTGATAGAATGTCATGAAAGTCGCGGCTAAAACATGGTGGACACAAGGGTTGATGCTGCGCTTGCATTACCGCCTCCATCAGCGACAAAAATTCCCAAAAATTCTCGTCGGAGTTCCCACTGAATGGATGGCTGCCGTTTACACACTCATGCAGCGCCACACCCAAGGCCCATACGTCGCTGCTTGGGCTGGAAGCCCACTGCCGGTCCCTTAACACCTCAACGGCGGTATAAAGCACCGTGCCGCTAAAGCAGTCCACCGCCGCATTCACGGGCATCGCACTGGATAAATCACCAAGCTTCAGTTCTCCCGTAGCACGCAACAAAATGTTGGAGGGAATTAAGTCGCCGTGCACCATGCCAATCCTGTCATTAAGGTCTACCAGGGCATGCAATGTAAGGAAAGCTATGGCCCTCGCTTGGCATTCCGTCAGATGACCGCGGCTGCAATGACGGTGCATCACGTCGCTGAGGGAATAGTCCATCAACTCTGTCAACACCAACAGCAGATTATCGCGGTTGGCGTCGACGCAAATATCGTAATGGTGTAGAATAAACCTCGAATGCAGGCGCTGTATCGGCAACACGTTGCGTACCGTTGCAAGAGGATCCACGCACTCCTCCTCCTTGAGCCCAAGCCAGACGCCCCCTTTTGCCCAATGTACACGGTAGAAACGACTGTGTTTCCCACGGCGCACCAGCACACGCTCCTCCCAATTGTTATCGCAAAGGGCACGCACCGTCGGCGCCTCGGTGCGCTCCGCGTCCTCTTCATCCATCACGTCCCCTCATAAACCTGGACGCACACCGCGCCGCCTTCGCCAGAAAGTAGGAGGAAAACAGAAACAGAAAAAAAGCACGGGGATGGGCAGGTGCGTAATAACCGTAAACCCTCCGCAGAGACCCAGTGAATTCAAAAAAAAAAGAAATAAAAAACAAGAGAAGGAAAAGATGGAGAAGAAACAACGACAAAATAATTCCACCACCACCGCCAGCATACATATCTATTATATATATGTTCACTGCGGCTGGGTTATTTTTCCCACCCACTCACCCACCCGCAGTCACGCTAAAAAAAAGAAAACTGACAGAAGAATTCAAGGAGGCAGATCTCACCCAGAAGTGCTCCGCACCGTCGTCCCATGTTTTTCTGATTTTTGCACAAATGCGGTGAGTGCCTTCTCTGCTTCCAGCGACAAACGAGCTGCTCCACGGGGTCCAAGTATTGCCTCCAAATCCTCCTTCAACAACTCCTTCCTAGTGAAAAGTGCATCGGCCAGACGGTGCAGCAACTCCTTATTTTCCGCTATTAAAGTCTTTGTATACTGTTGGGCTGTCCCAACCAATCGCGCTGCCTCCTCTTCAGCAACGGCCTGGATCTTCTCCGAGTGCTTCTGGTAAATGCGTCCCTCATCTAACCGTTGTGGTTCACATGCGAGAAACCCAACATGGTGCGACATGCCAAAGGCCAAAAATGCGTGTATCGCCGTCTTGGTGGCACGCTGGTAGTCGTCTTGAGCACCAGTCGTGAGCTCAGCGTGCCGCGTCGCTTCCGCAAGGCGACCCGCAAGCATAACACAAATGTCTGTGAAGAGTGACACATCGGTAGGCATATCAAAGGTCTCCTTGCCAACTTGCTGGGTAAAGCCTGCTGCTGGACCCCTTGGCGTAATTGACACCTTGATAACATCCGATTGTCTTGGCAGAAGCCAAGCAATCAGCGTGTGTCCACTCTCGTGAAGCGCCACACGACGGGCCGTCGCCTCCGACATTCGGCTGCGGTGTTTTTTGCCCACGAGAACATCGTCAATGGCTGGCAGAAGTGTCCGTTCGGTAACCTTATCGTCCCCCTGCACCGCGGCCGCAAGAGCCGCCTCATTCACGATGGTTGCTATCGTGGCCGGCGACACGCCAGGTGTGAGACGGGCGAGTCTCTGGGCGTTGGTGGTCGCATCGGACACAACAATGCGGTTGAGGTAATGTGCGAAGAGCTCCTCCCTCGCCCGCTGATCCGGCATAGGAATCTCCACTTTGCGGTCAAAACGGCCTTCACGCAGAAGAGCCTTGTCGAGATTATCCGGAAAATTCGTGGCGGCAAACACGACGACTGCCTCGTTTGCTTGAAGACCGTCAAGTTCGGCGAGCAGCTGGTTCACTGTGCGATTCTCTTCGGAACTCAACCCCAACGCCCCTTGGCCGTTGCTGCGTGAACCCACGGCGTCAATCTCGTCCACAAATATCACAGAAGGAGCCTCACGTTTTGCAGCCGCAAACAATTCCCGCACCCGCTTCGGCCCCGATCCGGCGTACACTTCAATAAAGTCCGCCCCACTACAAGTGAAGAAAGGCACACTCGCCTCCCCTGCCACAGCCTTCGCCAGTAACGTCTTACCCGTCCCTGGTTCTCCAGTGAGGATGCAGCCCTTTGGCAGTCTGCCGCCCAGCCGTGTGAAGCGTTCCGGCGTTTTGAGAAAGTTCACGTACTGTTGTACCTCCTCCAGCGCCTCAGGCACTCCAACCACGTCCCTAAACTTCGTGTCCCTAACCTCCACCCGAAAGTTTTTGTCTCCCAAAGGGTTCATTTGCTTCTGCAACATATCCATCGCATTGCTCAAAAAATTCCCTCGTTTTGCGCCGAATGCGGAGGAGGCTACATTTACGCGCCGCCGCATAAAAAAATAACCAAGGACCACAAATGGCAAGGCCGTGAAAATGGCCCCGCCGACCGCCTGGGAAACTGTGGGATTCACGTTCTTCGTTGGGCGCCGCTGCTGCGCGTCATAGAATCCCCGGTAGAAGGAGGTCGACTTGGAAGCGTCCTCTTCTCGCGATAACGGATCCATAGAGTAAAAGATGTATGTATGTATGTGGACTATATATGTATATGGCGTATTATTATCCCTCAGGCAGAAACTAGAAGCGACAGTAGCGCACAAAATATTCACCTGGGCTGCCTGTCGGATCCTGAACTGATCTAACAAAGTAAAATAGGACGAAAGAATGGAGAAGGGGGGTGCAGTGGAGAGGCAATGGGTTCGTCACAGCCTCAATGTTCACTCCAACTAATTATATAGTTGTATATATTTGGATAGCCACTATAGTGACACGCTGCACTCTATTCGGATTGTAAATATTTATTCCTTGCGAGGTGCCGCCATTTAAAGATCCTCCAGCCACAAGACTCCGCCGCAACGTAGGAATCGGAATGAGGGTGAATGGGACGGCAACAGTAAAAATATATATATTCGTCTAATCGCTATCGGTTCGTTGATTCCTTCCATCGCGGTCCTCCAAAGGATGCATAAGAAAGGAAGGAATCGTACAGAAATGTATTCATCCCATCAAGGCATTTATTAAATTAAGTATACAGCCTTCCCCAGAAACACTCATTTCACAAGCTCATAATAATAAAAAAACAGCACGCACCTCTTTTTATTTGGTCTTATTTTTCTTTGTTATTTTGTTTTTTTGTTATTAAGCTTCACTGTCTTTTAATGTTCGCTCCTAGTTACCTCCTCCATTAGTCCCTCCCTCCATGTATCCTCCATGATATTTCACTTGGGTCCGAAAGCACACGTCATATCCCCAGAGTGAGGCAGTCTCTTTGTTCTACTCCTCTCCTCCCTCCTCGTTTCACTTCCAAGAAGTTATTCTTAACATATGCGGATCCACTCACTCTACTTACCCGCCCGGCCACCACAGCACAAACAGACGATTGTTTCGTGTGGCCGCAGCCGCGAGGAAGTGTGCCTCCGATACTGAAACGGTAAAAAAAAAAGAGTAGCAGCAGAAATTGTCGCATCTTCGTCCTGTGTTATGGGTGCATTTGGGGTGAGAAAAAGTGGGCGCCGCCCTCCTACAACTTGGAGGTGAACAAGTTCTTCTCAAAGGAATGCAGCGAGTGGACACCGCCTTCCATCTGGGCAATGGGACTGCGGCGGTTAAATAAAACCTGCCCCCCGTACATCTTCTCACGCACGGCGTCAAAACTGATCTCACCAATGTCTTGAGCTGACTGCTGCAAACCCTTGTGTATGTACGCAAGGAGCTTCGTCACAGAACCCTTGTCTAGCACTGTTCCAGACACGCCTTGTGCCACCTGGACAGTCTCTTTCTCTGATAGGTAACGCTTACCGGACTCCTTTCCCTGCGACATGGCTTCAAGACTTCCCATACCACGGTATGTCTTAAGGCGAAGGCCCTCCTTAAAGAAGTATCTGCCTGGAGTCTCTGAAGTACCAGCAAGCATGGAGCCAAGCATAGCGGTGTTTGCACCAATAGCAAGAGCTTTGCAAATGTCACCAACACTTCGCAGACCACCATCCGCAATGCATGGCACCCCTCGTGATGCAGCATAGCGGCACACCTTGTACACTGCTGTAGCCTGTGGACGGCCACATGCAAGGACTTCCTGCGTGATACAAATGCTTCCGCTTCCCATACCAATCCGGATGGCGTCAGCACCAGCATCAATAAGATTCTTGGCCTGGTCCTGCGTCACGACGTTACCCGCCACCACCTCCAAATGAGGAAATGTCTTCTTCGCCCACTTTATAAATGATACCTGGTAGATTGTATTGCCTTGCGAACTGTCCAACAAAAGGACGTCGACGCCGGCACCAGCAAGGGCCGCTACGCGTGCCTTATCCTCCTCCCGTGTGGAGGTCGCAGCTGCACACAGAAGGTGTCCGTTACGGTCAAGACTGCTGTTCGGATAGACGCGAGCACGCACGGCATCCCGACGAGAACAGAGGCACATGACTTCCCCCTTGTCATTCAAGACTGGCAGGTACCCGTGTCGGCTGCGGTTCAACACATCCATCGCCTCTTCTAGTCGAATAGGGTACCGCTCCACTGTCATGCTTTCGCGTTTTGTCATAAATTGCGACACCGGCAATGACACATCCTTCACAAAATCAATGTCCTTTGAGCAGACGATGCCGAGCAGTTTGCCGTCGTGTCGGCCATTCTCCGTTACCAAGATACCGCTGATTCCTTTATCGGCGTTTATCTCATGAATGACGGAGATGGGCGTGTCCGGGCCCACCGACTTGGGTTTCATGATGAAGCCGTTACGAAACATCTTGACACTCCGCACCATCTGCACCTGGTGTTGGACGGTGCAGTTGTTATGGAGCACACCGATGCCCCCCATCAACGCCATCGTGCGTGCCATCTCACTCTCCGTCACGGTGTCCATCGGGGAAGAGACGATGGGAATATGCAACCGGATCTTTTTCGTGAATTGCCCCGAAACCTGCACATCTGATGCGCCAAAGTCAATAAATCCCGGAAGAATAACGAAGTCGCTGTACGTGAGGCCGTCGCTCTGAAACAACTCCTCGGCCGTGACGCCGTCCCGTATCGTTTTTGTGCGGAGGTCAACATTCACCATCGTTCCTACTGCTTGCGTGCGGCTATGCGTGCGTGCAGAGAAGTGCTCGCGAGTGTATTAATTCTCTCTTTCTCGAAGAGTAACCCGAGAACCGGCAAAAAGAAAAAGGCATGAAAATATATATATATATACATAAATACATATATATTTATGTGTCAACAAGAAGGAAAAGAAGTGGGAAAAAGTCCCCATTCCCACGGTGAAAAACACGGGAGGCAGCGCACCTCCCCCCGCCGTTCTATTCCCGGGGAGAGACGCTTAATTCTCTTCTCCCGCCCACTCCGTCAACCATCCTTCTTTTTTTTTGCTTGTGTGATTATATGTCCATCATCCCCCTGCTGCTCTCCTTCCTTTTCTGCCTCACCGCACCTCCCCCTCCGCTCTATTTTCCCTCTCCTCCGTCGACTCGTCATGAAAAAAAAAATGACGGCGGCAGCACACAGAGAAACTGGGAGATCACTGTAGGAGCGACAGTTTCGTCACAAGCACAACACGGATGCTCTGGTCAAACGAGGCACAAACCAACAGCCCCTCCTTCGCGCGGTTCCAATCAAGCGCGTGTATCGGCTGGTCACCCAACTTCGCCCTGTTGAGCTCCTCAACGCTTCCAGCAACACCCTTCGCAACGCCCTCGGGATCCCGCAGCATGCGCTCCGGCGGGTAGCGGTAACGGCAGAGCGTCAATTCACCACCGCCACCAGACATGAACACTTCACGGTTCTGAGGCAGCGCGCGGGTGCACCACACGGTGCCATTTGACACCCGCTCCTCCACGTACGCGTAACCCAAATTTGGATGGAGCGTCCGCATATCGTACACGCGCACGCGGCCTTCCAGTGACGAGACAATCAGTTTGTTCATGTTGATATCCGGGCGATCAAACTCCAGGTCACACACGCCGTTGTTCACATTGAACTCGTGGAGCATCTTCTGTATGCGCAAGTCAAATAACTTCACGTCTCCGTTGTCGTACCCGGCCGCAACGACGCGCTCGTCAGGATCAAAGCTGTTCCCAAAGCGAACAGTCCAACAGTCACGCGCGTGGGCGGGGTTGGCGGGGTTCAGAGCAACCACTGGCTTATTCGACTGACGTACATCCCATACTTTCACGCAACCGTCACGCCCACAAGTCGCAATCTCTGGTGGGCCGGAGTGCTGTGCACCGTCAACAGCATTGATAATGTTCTCGTGTGCATGTGGTACAAGAAAGAGCGGATCAGCGTCGAGCCGTTCAATGTCCCAGAGAGACAGACCACCTGCGAAGTCACCAGTGCATAGTGTTATGTTCGACTGCCAGTTGGAGGTGTTGTGACCAAAGGTAGAGCATTTTATAGGCACCTTGCCCTTGATTTCGCACTGCACGCTCAGTTCACCCTTGTTAAGCTGCAGGACCGATATGGCGCCTTTGTTATTCGGATACTGGCCCACCACAGCAAAGGACGCGCCGCGCGGCACCCACTTCACATCGAAGGCTGTATAAGGAAGATTCTTCTTGACATGTTCAATAATCTGCTGCCGTGAAAAACGTCGCTGCTCCTCACGCTTCCGTTCCTTTTCCTCCTCCTCTGTCAGGTACGACATGCCGGCCGCTAACTACGCTTCTCGGTGGCACTGAGAACGAGGAGAAAGGGGCACGTTACGGGCATTGAAGTCGGCATGAGCAAATGACGTCAGCAACTCCCATGACGCAGCGGCAGCAGTACACACTCACACACGAACAGACAGAAACACGAAGCAAATTAATGTCATAAAAATAAAAAAGACAAAAAAAAGAGGGGAGGGCTATCATCAAGACCACAACCCATGCACTGTCACAACTGCCGTGGTACGCACCAAGAAACAAACGGAAATAAATCAAACGCAACAAAACAAAAAATTGTGGTACCAATGATAATAAACACTCCGTTTTGTCAGATCGCCTTCTCCCCAGATATCCTTTGCGTTCTTCATTGCGTTTCTCTCCGCTCCCCCCCTTATGCGCCAAGGGACCAACCATGAGTGATTCCCCGCCCAACAACTCCTGCCACCGCCAGCAGCGACAGGAGTACCTCAACCAACCACGCAGGCACACAAATGTACATGGTGTCTGGATCTGTTCAAAGGTGTCGTTAGTCACATGCAGACTCACTTCACATGCTGCATCCTCCTGCCCTGTTGTTTTACAGGCGCCCTGTCCGAGAAAAAGCCCCGCGACAACCCGATCCGACCAGCAAATGAGCAATGCAAAAGGATTATCAGCACACAAGAAAAAACAACCGAAAAAAGACACAAAGCAAAAATATATATATCACGGTGACACGGCTTTAAAAAAGGCAGACAAGACAACAAACACACAAAAGAAAAGGATGGGAAGGGGGATGTGAGAAGAAGTGAATCGGCGTAAAGCCAGAAAAAAAAATATATATTTATATATTTATATATACACATCTTTGCTTGTGTGGTGTATGC